TCGTAGGCAACTGTTATTAAACTTATTTGTTTCTTCAATGCTATTCAATAAATTAGGCTGATATTTTTTAAATCAAATCTTTTCAGTCGAAACATACATCGCATCACGAGGAGCCGGTTGTTATACTAGCAGCACGAACGTCCGATCAGTGATCAGATAAAACTAAATAGTTTTATTTTTCTGGACATTTTATTGGGTAATAAAAGATGGAAATCATTTAAAATAAGAGCAAATTAATGATAGCAGGCCCACTCTTTTCTCATCCATTCATTCCCCCCTGTAAGCAAGTCTCAAAATAGAAACACTCAGACCTTTTTCTCGTACAGGAAGAAATTTATTCACATGTTTTGGAGACCTAAGCACGAATAAAAGGGCTTTAATTTGATAGCACAACCAATACCCAAAAGTTATCTAAGTTTTTTTCGAACTGCGCGGAAAAAGATAGGCAATTTCTGCTCCTGCTTTCACAGAGGTCGCGTAACAAAAAAATACCGTTTGATTCGACGTTTTTGGTTTACAAGTTCATTAAAAGCTATAAATACCGAAATAATTTATCAAAAAAACTGGCTCTTTAGAAAAAAAAATCAAATCAACTCGACCAATTACAACATATTAAAGATATTGACTTCATTCACTCTGGTGCATATACTTGTATCTCGTAAATTTCCCTGAAAATACAAAAAAAGCTAGACTGTTTCCACTGAAAATAGAACAATTGAAACTCGCACAGCATAAAAAAATCCTAAGTAGACTACTTTCTGCCTGAAATCGTGCGGAAAAACATAGGCAATTATCTGATCATACTTCTACAGAGCAAAAAATAGTTTTTGTGTATCAATTAATACTTTTGGTCACAAGTTCATTACATGCTCCTATGTATGCCGAAATAGTAAATAAAAAAATGACTTTTCTTCAAATAAAACTCAAGCCATCTCGACGAATATATGTATTTTAAAGAAAAAATCCTTTTTTTGAGTTGCACAAAATTTATATAACCAGAGGTGAAGCGGAAATTTGCGCCACTTGCGGTGCATCACTAACATAGCAAGGCAAGCTAGCCGACAAAACAAAACAGACGAAAGCCACTAAGCAGTGAAATTGTCCAAAAAAAAGACCTATCAACATTTTGATATATGTCTCAAGTTGAAAGAAAATTTGAGTGTTGAGCTAGCCTGGTAAAAAATTTATGAATCGATATTTAGGCCAACAAAACCTGCGTAGATGCCCGTCGAGTTGAAAAAAATTATGTCTGTCGCACTAAATTTTGAGCAACACAAAAAGCTCACAGCACACACACGAACGAAACATTAATCTCGCCGCTCAAACAATTTCATATGCGGCGACTAAGCCGATATGACTTTAGCCGAAATCTTTCAAACACTAGCCGAACAAACACGAGGGAAAAATTCAGTTGGTTTACAACCACCAACATAATCACAAATCCTGACTTGTTTTTGTATTTCAAAGAAAAGAGTAGAGGTCAATCAGGTTTTTTGTGACCTTTATAGTTCTGCTGTTTGATAGTTGGTTTTGCCTTCCTTTTATCTTAAAAAAATCATAATTCAAACCGCAAAAATCAAATTTGAGCGTGAACAAATATTTAGACCTTTCACGGAAAAAACCACCACTGATATAAACTTCACTACGTTCATCGACGCTTCATAGCGCGTGAACTTAAAATGCATACATGCTCAAAATATGTCTGTTGCAGTAACTTTCCGGCTGAGGCCTCTAAGCGAAGAGTCCTGAGCACACAGTTTTTCGCGAGAGAAAGTCTTATACTCAGCTACAATACACTTGGCGTTCAAGTGTAATCACTTTAAAAATCTTTCAGTTTCAAAAAACTTTTGTGTTCAAATACCTTTTAATAAAACTAATCCAATGTGAGAACACTGGATCTTGAGGTAATTTTTTTGCTGCAGGGAAATCAAGATTTAAATTCTCTTTTGAAACCAAAAATCAACTTTTAACACGGAGGCGAAGCTGCGCTTCGCAAACAATTGTGAGAATACGACCAAAAAGCAGCTCTATCAATTGACATAAGAAAAAAAAAGTAGAAATAAGCCTCGAATTTGCAAAAACTCGTGGCTTAGTAGCAAAAACACGAATTAACAAAAATCTGCAACCTAGCAAATTTGAGTCTCACGCACCATTCAGCCACGGATGATTAAAATCACCAAAAGCTAGCCACAATAACGCAGCTACATAAGCTAATAAACTGCCAATTCGATGCAGCAAAGGTAGACATCAAATACAAAAAGATACAATTTGCATGTAACAAATTAAAAATCATAAAGCCACATTATGTATAAATTATGCATTTTTAAAAAAATGCGAGATATATTGAGCTAGAAAGTTTCTAAAATCGAAATTTTATTTTTGTTGTTCTCTGAAACAAATAGCTTTTTTCGGTTCACTTAATGAATTAAAAATGCCATCAACTGTGTTAGCTCTTATAACTAATGGAATGTCAAAGCACATGTTATCAATAAGCTCTAAAGGTGCAACAAATAAGCTGCCATGCCAATTCGATGCAGCAAATATTGTTGCCTTAGTCGCAACAATATTTGCGACTTCGGTTGGAAAAAAAAGAAAGTTCGTACTTACACTTTGCTTCGCAAGTGTAAAAAGTAATTTGCTCTTTTGTTATTGAAAAGCAAAACTATCTTTCCCTTTATTGTATGAACTCAAAACGAAATGGAAGGTCAAACCTCTAGAAAACAAATTTTGAGATTTGAACAAAAATAAACAGAGAAACCATATGCCGTAAACTAGTGTCTCCACATCGTTCGTTAAAATCTCCAGGTGTAAGTAGTGTTTAATTTGAACTGCCATTATTCAAAAAGACCCGGTTCATACCTGCCGAATATGGCTGGATGGTGCTTGGAAGACACTTTTGGGGTTTTCTTTGGAATCGAAAACGGAATATCGTGCTGGTCGAACACGGAAGTCAGCTGGAGAAGAGATAGAGAGTTCAACTTATTCACATCCGCCTGACTGAGATCATACAAGGTTGATCTGCCATTCTTCCTAACCTAAAAATATTGACTGAACAATATAAACGTTACACACAAGTTATCTGAAACAATACTCAATTAAATCCATTTTCTTAAGTGATTAACTACCTTAACTTAGTTGTGCCACGTACCTTACTTGAGACTACAACTTTAGGCATTGATCCAATACTCCAAAGCCTGTAAGATCGGACAGGCCTATCAACTGCATCAGATCCACTCGGGTACTCACTCCCACTCGTCTCTCCTGAAGAACCCTGGCGACTTGCGAACTCGTGGCCAGGTGATCCTGACTTAGAGCCCAGAATCGAGCTAGATCTGCGCGACAAGACTGCATCGGAGTCCTCGTCTGCTGATGATATGCTGTTCATACTAATGGGTTCCGGGAGCGTCAGTGGAATTCCGGATGCGTCTGGCAAATGCGAAAAATCAGGAGAGTCGGTCATGTCTTCCTCCTCCACGAAGTCGTCGTCGACGTCAGCGTCAATGAGTTCGAAGAAATCCTCTTCGAAACATTCTTCGTTTGGATCTCTATGACCATTTGTTGCATGCGGATAGTAGTACTGCTGACGTAGGGAGCATGAATTTGGTGCATATGGCAAGTTCGAGGCCTAGAACAACCCGATTTCAGTCAGCTTTCAACAACAAAGTTATAAAAAAATAATCTGAATCCGACCTGACCTAGATTTCAAGTAAAGTTATAAGACTAGCAGAACTTGTGATACCAGGTACTACTATAATATATTTCTTTAGGTTTCAGGCTTAGATTTAAAACCTGTCCTGAATCAATTACTATATATCTCACTACCCTATACGCAATTATCTACATTATTAGTTCTTTTGAATATGTCTCACTTGCTTATGAGCTCAGATTCAAAATCAGTTCTTCAGTTTAACGTCTGAATTAAAATGTACTTGAACGTTTTACACACTTAGATACAAATTTAATAGCGAAACTCAGCTTAAAATTCTCACTGTCCATGTGGATATGACAGAATTGATGAAAAAATTATACTATATATTTGCGAAGTTGGCTTACAGATACATTTGGAGTCGTTTGGTGACTGCTTCTCGAAACTGAACTGTCCGACATTTGATGTCCGAGAAACGGTTCACTTCGGCGTCCACTGGGAGAAACAACAACCCGTTCCTCAAGATGCTCAAACATAGATCCTCGTAATGCATTGTACGGGGTCCTCTCGTTGGGAGGTTGTATGTCTCTGCTGGTCGGTGCTTCGATAACATATCTTGATGAATTGCTCTCTGCCAATACTCCTTGCAGTCCATCAATATCACTTCTCACGGTCCGTTTACGTCTTCTTAGCGTTCTGAACAATTAATTATTATCAGCACCATACGGAAATTGTTTCCAATGTCAAACCAAAAGTTCGTTCTTTAATAAATAAAGAAAGTTCGGTCTTTAATTCAATGATCTTCAAAAACTCAAAAAGGGTGAAGAATGATTGAAATTGAAACAAGTTGCAATTCTCAGCAACTAATTTCAAAGTTCATTGTCTTTTTTCTTTTAAACTCTTCTTGTTAGTTTTTTCTATTCAATTTTTTCTGAAAAAAAAAAGAAATAAAATTTTTGCAACTGAAGCTTAGTTCTTAAAAATTGTGTACCTCATTTCTTAGTTTTCATTTCTTTCTCTTAACTTTTTCAATAAGCAATTCCGAGTGTAGTTGCGGTTTTCAGCAATTAAGCTCGTCCAAAAGTAAAAATCTTGTCCTGGTTTCAATTTTCAGTACCGGAATGAGAAGTGTCTAAGCTAGATACAGACGCAAAGTTGCGACTTTCAGCAATTATGGCTGAACAGATTAAAAAAAAACAAATTAAATGATTTTTCAAAGTATAAACAAAACTGACTGAAAATAAGAAAAAGTTTTTACTTGAATCAGATTGCGATTCTCAGCAGTCTGTTGATCAAATCACTTCAAAGTAAATTAAAGCTGGTTAAAATTACAAAAAAGGCTTCTGAAAATATGAGCAAATATTATCAAAAATTAAAATGTAAAAGTATATTGGCCATATAAACCATAGGAAAAGGTCGGAAAAAGGAGTAATACCTAAAGCTGAATGTCCATTCTTTTGCGAAACAGTCGCTTATTAGCACAAAATCAAGAAACCTTAGAGCTTTTACTCTTATTATAGCTCTTACTGAATCATGGCTGAAAGATTACACGGAGTTTAGTATTTTCAAATTGGCAGGTTATCAATCTATAGAAAAAGCGAATAGAAACAGACGCGGTGGAGGTGTTGCTTTCTACGTAAGCTAACGTATTTAATATAATAAAATTAAAGAACTGACTTCAGACGAAATGCAAATTTTCACTATTTTATTCGAAAACGGCCGAGAGAAAAATTGTCTAACTATTGTCTATAAAGAGCCCCAAATGAACAATTGTAGGTTTCTTGATCAACTACAAGCTTATCTGTTCGGGTTGAAAATGCAGCGTGGAGATATGCACACTGTATGTGGAGACATGAATGTTGATGTGTCTAAGTCGATCAGTGACTCTCTTAATCTTGAAAACAGCCTGCTACTATTTGGGTTAAAAGTAATGAAAATTGGAAGTACTCGAAAAACGAAAAACAGTCAGTCATCAATAGAAGAAATTTGGAACAATTTTCATTCAATAGTCATAGTCCAACACAACTCACTATCGGATCACGAGGCGGTAGAAATTGAAGCAACATTTCTAACTGAAGACAAAACTTTGCTTAAAAAACAAAATCTTGAATTATTGGATAACTGGAACGTTTTGGAGAATCATGAGATTTTTCTGAAGTTCATTTTCCCGATACTGAGGGTGGAAAGATTGCTTTTCACGGCTTCTAATAGCTATCTAATGTACTTGTGAACAATTCATTCCTAAGCTCCCAACAAAAAAAAATAGAAAAAGTTGTATAACACCTAAAAATGAGAGTAATAAAAAGAATAAATTGTACAAAAAAACGAAAAGAGTAATTGTAACCTTGATAAGCTCCAGGAACAACAAAAAATGAAAAACTTGGCGAAAATCAAAAAGCAAGAGCCATAAAATTAGAAAAAAATTTATGAAGTCATTAGTGTGATTAGAAAAAAGGAAAAACAAGTGAGTTCGAAACACAGCATCCCGAGTGCAGAGGAATATAAATTTTTTTAATTTTCATTGATCAAAGGCCAATCGAAAGTAATACAACACCACAAAACTTAGAAAATGTTGTAGAGAATAAAAATACTATGTTTTCTGAAACCATTTCACCCCCATAAAGTTTATGAAGTAACTAAAAGCCTGAAGAAAAAACCAAACCTCGATAGTTACAACCAAAGTAACAACCTAATAAAAAAGATAAGTCCGGTTACATCTGAGCTACTGAGTTGCTTTTTTGATCAATGTGTAAAGTTGTCATAATATCCTTCAATTTTTAAGATTGCACAAGTTCAACCAATTCACAAAAAATATAATCATAATAAACCGCATAGATTGGAAAAAAGATCTGCTTTCTTTGAGTGTACTCTGACAGCACCCATTTACAAGGTTCGTAATTATACAAATTTCGAAGAATCATAAAATTTTGTGAAGTTTTATACAAGTTCTTCGAAAAATTCAAAATAAACGAAGAAACGTCACATCTGGGAAACTTAAAGTAATTGAGCACTCTCATTTGGAGGCAAGATTTGCATCTTTTGAGAGTACTCTTATAGTACCCAACTATTGGAAAATTTAAATTTTGAGAAACTTCACCTTAAGTTCTCTAAAAAAAAGATATTTTTTGAGAACCAGAAAAAATTTCTCATGTCGAAAGCTACCAAGATTTCAGCAGTCTTATTTGATGGCAATGTTCGCAATCTTTGAAAGTAATCAGACAGCGCACCACCACAGGGTTGGGAATTTCATTTTAGTGAAATATTTTGCAATTTGAGTTTTCTGAAAAATTCCAAAAAAATCATAAAAATCGTCTTATCTCTTAAGCTTAAAACATTTGGCCATTTCTTAATTGGAGGCCGAATTTGCAATCTCTGAGATTACTCTGACTGCCCCAACTACAGGTTGGGAATTTCCATCTTTGAAAAAAAATTAATTTTCATGAGATTTCTTTTGTAAAAATCACAGAAAACGTATCTAAAAAACTACAAGGATTTGAGCAGTCATATTTGGAGGCCAAATTTGCAACTCCTGAGAGTACCCTGACAGAATCTCACAACATAGACGGTAATTTCAAGTTTTCTGAAAAATTTTGAGAAAATCCTAAAAACAAAAACGTCATATCTCGAAAACTACAAGAACTTCAGCAGCCATATTCAGTGGCAAGATTCGCAACCCCCCGAGAGTACCATTACAGATTCCAATAGCAGGATTGAGATCTTCAACATATTAGAATTATTAAATCTAAATTTAAAAAAAAAATTTGAAAAAATCTTAAAAAACGTCGTATCTCGAAAACTTCAAGGATTTGAGCAGCCATAATTAGAGGAAAAAATTTCAACTCTTGAGAGTACCCTCAGTATCCAACAACAGGAATGAGATCTTCAATGTTTTGCAGTTTTTTTAAAATTTAAGTTTTTGAGAAAAAATTCTAAAAAAACGTCATATCTCGAAAACTACAAGGATTTGAGAAGTGAGATTTGGAGGCAAGATTCGCAACCCCTGAGATTACCCTGACAGCACCTAACTACAGGGCAAAATATGAGAAACTTTTAAAATTAATTTTTCTATGAATTTTTGAAAAATCTCGAAAATTGCCTATCTCATAAACTAAAGGGATTTGGTTATTCATATGTAGGCCAGAATCGCAAAACCTGGGAAAACTCTGACAACATCCCATTATTAGGTTGCTAATTTCAAACTTGATGAAATAAACACTGAATTCTAAGTGGAAAATCGAAAAAACCTTAACCATAGCAATATACGATGTAGCTTAAACGTGAAACCATTCTTTTGTTAAACATGCAAAAATAATAATTCGAAAAAGCCTAAACATGGCGAGATAGTAAAGCGCGCATTTGAATATAAGATAGATAGCTGCAAATTAATATATTAGAAGACGGGTAGACAGACATAATCAAATTGATTTAAAAAGCAGGTATACAGACAGACAGACTTGATTTGGGCTCGCAAAAAACTAACAGATAATTAATGACCTCACGGAAAACTAATTGGAATTTTTTCTTAAGCATTGCAATATATGACATAGCTTCAACATGAAAAAACTCTTTCGTTAAACATGCAAAACCATTATGCTTAAACATGGGATATAGCTGTCACTCGCATTCAAATAAAGTATAAATGCAATAACAGCATGTCAGTAAGGATTCCGAAATTTAAAAAAGCAGTTGATGCTATCTTGGAACTCAGTGAAAAATTAGAGAAGAATTAAAAGATAATGTTGACACCGCGTGTACGCTGATAGATCTTACAAAAGCGTTCGACACAGTTGATCACAAAAAATCTTACTAGAAAAATGCGAATGATACGGTTTACGAGGTTAAGTTGTTAAGTCTTTTGAGGCCATACCTTGAAAAACTTAAACAGTACCGTTAGTAATAAAAATTCATTATCAGACACTACAACAATCTACTATGGTGTACCACAAGGTTCAGTTCTGGGTCCTTTGTTGTTTTAAGCATTATAAAAACATAATAAAGGCATAATAAAGTTGTACTTTTTCCTGATGAAAGCGCATTGTATACAACAACTAAAACAGGAAATCCGCAACAGGTCAACTCTGATATAGGCAACGTTGAAAAATGGTTTTTGGAGAGTACGCTTATCATAAACAGGGGAAAAAACAGCCACCTTATAATTTAACAGGATTAAATTCTCTAATAATAGATCCCATAAGTACTCAGAACACTTTCAACACACATCGAAAAAACGTTGAAAAGGGCAGCCAAATCTTGCTCGATGATCTAGTAACTCAATTATTATTTTAACACAGAGTACTGATCTAGGGCACAGCTAATAAGACAGATTTTAAAAATTAGAAAGCCAGCAAAGACTAGTGGGGAAAGTCTGAAACATATTCGGGACAAACATAAACTCTGTTTGGTTTGAGGTATATGTATATGAGCTTTTTAAACTCATGGGTAAAATTATAAGACGATCTTAAGTAAAATAAAAAACTTCATGAATACAAAAGTAAACAGGAGATAACAGATACTATCAAAACAGGCAAGACAAGAAAAAAACTTCGCATCCGAAATAAGCTTGCTATAAGAGCAAAAAAGAAAATCGAAAATAGTAATATATTTTGTGTAATAAGTTCCTATAAATGGATAAAAAACTCCTGTTGAAGCGTTAAGATCTACCAATGAAATTATTATTGGACTCGTTTTTTCCTAAT